GCACCCTAAGGAGGCCCTCTCTGTGGGAGCGGACTGGTCGAAGGGAGGTGTTTGGTAGGAGGCGGTCTTGCAAATACCTAGGTCCATTGCCACGGAGCGCTTTAAAGGTTGTTACTAACACCTCGAAGCGTACCCGGAAGGCCACAGGCAGCCAGTGCAGCTCGCGCAGGAGAGGTGTTACATAATAGGTAGAAACATTTAAGCATTACACATGGTACAGTATTAAAAAGGTACTGCTTTTCCAGAAAACAGGACATATCAAGCAGGGACTTTTTAAAAAATGTTCTGGGTAGCAGATCAGAAAGCCTCTCCTCATTGCCTCCCTCCATTTGGCACTGGCCATCCTGTGCCTCTTATTAACTCTAATGGGAAGCAATAATCTCCAGCCCATAAACCAACATCTTTACTTGCACCTGATTGCAGGCCTTAAGTATAAAGCAAGGCTTCATTAAAAAGTTAAAAGGCTAATTATCTGGCAAATCTAGAGGTTACTGGAATCAGAAATAACTAACAACTTATGTGGTTTTCTTACCAGAATTTACCAATAAAGCTTCTGAAAATAAATATTAATTTTGTAATGTATTTAATATAGATAATAGGAGAAAGTTTGAAAGAGATTCAGAAACAAGGAAAAGCTTCCCAATATTTCCAATAAGTCTAGCAACCTTGTATAATTTTGTCAAAATCAATATGCCACATTAAATTAATAATTCTTACCTGAACAAACAGAATCCTTCCAAAAATTTAACTTTAATCAATTAAATTTCCCCTGCACTTCGGATTATATATGTATTTCACTATATTGTATTTATATAATATTTAATTATACACATATAATGAAATATATGTGCGTATAAAAAAATTAAATACTGATTTTCCACACATGACAATTTTTAAAGTATATACAGAACAAAAATCAAATTAGAAGCACAACTACAGTATATTTATCCAAAAGGAAGATGCTCCTTAATGAAAGATTATCTTATTCCACTCAAAAATATGTTACGCAAAAAAATATATCTTTATTTTACTGTATTCTCAGTGAATGTAAGGTGATCTTTATAATATTTAAAGATACATTTCTGATATGATTTACCACCTGAAGTAGTTTTCCTTAACATTACCATTCAGGTGAATATAGTAGTGTAAATATAATTGTAATATTTGTAACATAAAATAATCTCTCTTTTGGGAATGCCACGATCCCAAATCCTTATTCTCTATAGACACCAACACCAAACAGCACCTGTTTGACTGGAGCAACACCAAAATTATCAACCACCCTACTACCTGCCACGCCTGGTGCTCCATAAGCAATTCCATCAACAGATACATTGACCTACAACCAGCCCACAAATCCCTCAGAATCCAAATCAATCGCACAGCCAACCAGAGACAATACTGACCCTCAACCAACCCACACAAGCCCCCTCCCCTCCTGACTAGCAGTTCTCTTCCCAATGACCCTGCCCCAATATAACCTCCCCATCGCAAGCCTCTCACTGATAACTCACACCTGACCCATCACAAGACCCTCACTTGATAACTCACATCTGAAGCCCTTATAAACAGAAGGACATTGACACTGACATCCTCGAAACTCCGTTGAAGATGTTACCTGGTAACAAAACATTTGGAAACCAACCCACAAGCTTGGAGAATGAACCTTCAGCCCCTAATATCTCTCTCTCTCTCTCTCTCTCTCTCTCTCTCTCTCTCTCTCTCTCTCAAACACACACACATACGTGCGACCATACACAAACATTTTGATTCAAACAAGAAGTACTTCATTCTTTATAAACTTGTAACAAGTATATACTGCTCATAGTTCACGATTGTTATTTAAAAAATAAGTAATATTTACTATATTATAGTAAATAGCCTATAAAATTTCCAGCATAAATATATTATAAATGAAATATATTACCATGATAATTTGTTGAATGTAAAATCATTCTTCATCATTTTCAAGATAATCTCCTTTATGTCCAGTAGGACATTTTATTATGTAGAAAAACTGTAATCTAAAGCTATCTCCAACTGATCTAGGGCTAAAAGACTTTAGCTTGCCATAAAATAATAAACATCAATAGTTATCCTGCTACAACATGGTCTAATTAAATTCTGTTTTATATGGCATTTACAGCAAAGCAGTTATCCCTTAAATAACCATTAACATCACGAATAATTGTGTTGGTTGTGTCATTTTCCATTTTGTAAGAAGGGGAGCTCTCTTCATAGCCTTCCTCCTTTATAAGCACATGCCACTGCCACCTGGTGGTCAAGAACTCAGATACAAGCAGATTGGCTAAACTAAAACTTCATATATGCTTTCCAGCATCAAATGAGGATTTACCTCAAGAGATCATTCATGGGAGCCACCGCTAATCCCAGTTTTCAGACAAGTATAACTGCATAAGAAAATGCAAATATATGTTTTCTATACTCTGCTAGATATCTCTGCATTATTTTTCCTCAGGAAACTTTGCAAAGTTCAGAATCTCAAAAGAGATTGAAGCATTATTCTGCACTCTCTATCCTTCAATCTCACCATTTCTCTCAATATCTATACCACTGAATTTTAACAGCTTGCAAAATTGAGATAAAGTAATATACAGTAGATACAATTTTCCTTTTTTTGGTGGTGCTTCTGAGTCAGGATTGACTCCTGGCAAGTACCTGGACCCATTCCTAGTTTTCTGGATAAGATTTTCAGAAGTGGCTTGCCTTTGTCTTCTTCCTAGATCTGAGAAAGAGTAACTGGTCCAAGGTCACCCAGCTGATTTCATTTTTTAATGCCTAAGACCTTTTCCTTTCTGACTTGGATTACTTGGAAGCCCTGTTCAGAGTGGAGAGAACTGGGAACTCTGTGGCTATTCTCATGTGTCTTTACCTTTACTTCACCCATGTATCCATTCCTTACCTTTGGTGTTCAAGCAATGGGTTAAAAAGAGTGACAAAAATATATTCAGCCCTCAACTTTATATAGCACTCACATCCCTCAAATCTGACAATTCAATATGGGTCAGGACAACAGGTTTCAAACACAGTAACAGGATAATTTACCTTTCTGCTGTGTATGTTCGGATTTTGGTTTTACACAGATGATTCTGGAATTCACTGGTATTTCCTGGAGTGCTTCTTGGGGCTTTGTCTGCATGGCAGTTATAAAACACATGTTAATGTTATGATATCTAACTGGATCAAGTAAGATAAAAAAAACTTCTAGAACTGAATTAAAAATATATTGTTCCACATTTATCTTTGTCCATGCTTTCTTTCCAGCACACATGAAAGCAGAACTGATAAAATGAGACCTAATCCACAATGGCCATTCATACCCATTAGAATAAACAGAACACTAGACTGTAGATTTATAACATTTGCCCTGAACACAGAGATATTTTTTTACTTTGAAATGAGTAACGGAAGATGCGAGAAATCATATTTTGTGGATCTACCCATACCATCTATCAAAAAATTGACATTTCTCAGTAAGTACTCTCATAAACTAAGGTGTCTTCTTTTAAGAGAGGCTCCTGTCAAAGATATGTTTCAAAAGTAGCAAAATCCTTGTTTAGCCTAAGCCTTTGAGACTATTTTACTTGATTAATTCCAGTGGCAGCATTTAACTAAATTGGATTGATCTTGAAAATCCAAGCAGGGCTGGGTCTGATTGGATGGGGATGAGAAGATACTAAGGGTATAGCCAAACTGGAAGTTTAGAAAATATACAGGAAAAAAATAATTACAAGTCATGTACACATGGTTTGTTTATGTATTTATTTCATCATCCAACTCACCACAGTGATTCTGAGTGGTTAAAGCATATAAAAAACAAATACAGGCAATAATATGTGCAACCCCAGATCCATAGCCATACACAGAAACATATATACACCTAAATGGCTACCAAGGCAATACTCAAACAACAAATGCCACAACATGTCTTGGGCACAAACCAACTTCCTTAACCCCAAGCCTGGAAACACAAACAGATCTAAGGCTTTCCGAGCAGTTGGTAGGATTATGGAAAGTTGAATCACAAGCCTTTTTGATTCTGCTCTCCAGCCTCTGATTCAGGCCCAGAAAGTCATAGACAATGTGGTCTCTGAATTTCTTACAGAATAACAGAGTTGGAAGGGACCTTGGAGGTCTTCTAGTCCAACCCCCTGCTCAGGCAGGAAGCCCTATACCATTTCAGACAAATGGTTGTCCAATCTCTTCTTAAAAACTTCCAGTAATAGTGTTCCAAAGGCCCATTTTCTGGGTCTCACTAAATGGGATCCAAAACACACCTGTCCTGTTGGACCTCACATTATAAACAATTGGAGAGAAGCAGTCCCACAAATAATCCAGTGCCCTGCCATATAAGTAACAATCAGCACTTGAATTGCATCTGAAATCAGTGCAGCTTGTAAAGCAAAGGTGCTACATGGGTGTGATACTTTATCTGGCAGATGCTTAGAATATTCCTCCCAACAGTCTGCAAGGCAACTCCCCCATACCTGGAGGGTCCAGGCCTCTTTAAACAGGGCTGCTCTCTAGAAAGCAGAGAAATACTGATTTTTCATCACCTTTACTGACATAGTTACTACAAAATCTGTGTAGATGGGACTATGAAATGACAAGAAGCTGAGCTGGATTTTTAGTTATATGAATTATGTGTATTTACATTTTGAATGAGTAACAAGAAATGGGATGCAAGTATTTTCCATGCAAAGAAACAAAATCTAGACAGCTATCTCCATGGTAGCTGAGACTATCAACAAAAACTTCTTGTAACATCTGAATTCAGCTTCAGTCCATATGAATTCAGGTTAGAAAAACACTTTTCTTTTTGCTGAGGACAAAATAACTGCTAAAAAACCCACTTCAGATATAAAAGAGTAGAATAATTCCCCAAAAATACATGATTCTACCTCTAATGAAACCTTGTAAAACGCATAGGAAGAGGCTACATGATAATATACAGAAAAGCTTTTGCAAAGTCCAGAATACCTCTTCTTGGCTTTGGGTCATTAGCATAATTACATCCATTTGAGTACTCTATATTTAAAAGAATACTAACACAGCCTAATACATTGGCTAAGGCTCGTCAGTCGTATTACCTGCAATGAGTCATCCAACGGAGGTGTCAGGTTGGTGTTTCCATATGCCCCTAGAGAGCCAGGTTGAGCCAGTTCAGCTATGCTCATTGGCCCATGAGTAACATCAGGAACACCAGGAATATCTCCTGAGAGATTAAAAACATATTAAAAGCACGGTTTCTATTTAAATTTTATTATTTCTAATGCACACCTATAAATTAAAAATGGCTTGATAGATCACTACTGTATGTGAGATCACATGGCTGAAACACTGCTGTCTACATTGTTTGTAGGTTCTCAGATAAGAGGAGCAAATCTTTCATTTACTCACTGTATTTTGAACATGTTCCTTATGTTGACAGAGTAGCTCACTGCACTTTACACGCAGGCTTGTGATTTTTCGAAATAACTGGTGGGAATTTTGCCAACAGATAGAAAATGTTTTGAATGTTGGCATAAACAAAGTTTAGTCATAAATCTCTTAATACCACCTTTTTAAAACACTTATTGGGAGAAAGCATAATGAAAGTTTTCACAAAGAGTTGCATCACACAAACTGGGACAATTTTAACCTTAAATTATACATTATACCTTAATTATTGCAATGCCAAAATAATTCATACAGGAATTTACTTTTTTTCCCTACAGTTCTACTTTCAATCTTATTTCTTTTACTATTTTCTTTTTTCCCCATACCCATATTTTACCAGGCCAACTCCTGGTATGTTTTGAATATGTCTCATATTCAAAACATCTTATCATCCTTATTTTCTTCACTAATTCTCTCAATCTGTCATTTTAAATTATGCTTTCAGAGTTACATTCATTCCTTTGACATCTATAACCATGAATACATTTGTATTTAAAATAGGTATTCAACACAGATCTTTTCCTAAAAAAATACACATCAAACAATTCCATTGTCATTAACTGAGTTTCCACACGACCCAATCACTTTTATTATAGTCTCATCTTGGTCCTGCTTAGTCCATCTTTTGCTGTTGTGAGGGAGTCACCCTGCCACCATCCCTGCTTGCCCCTCTCCCTGCCAGGGAACTCTCAAGGTCCAGCAGAGCATGCCGAAGGAGAGGTCCTTCTCTCCAAGCTCGGGTGTGATTAGCAGCTTGCCAGCTCAGATGTGGATAAAAGTCCTCAAGCTCAGAATAGCATGTGTGTGTGTGTGTGTGTGTGTGTGTGTGTGTGTGTGTGTGTGTGTGTGTGTATGGAACAATGACTCCTGCTTAGCCCGCCTTTCGGGGGGGGGGGGCTGTAAAGTGTGGTAAGGAAGCCTTTGGAGAAGGAGTGTGGGATGGAGGGAATTTTCACCTCCCTCAAGCAGGACCAGTTTTGGAAACCAGAGCAGAAGGCCTAGGCTTGCAGTGAGAGTTGTCCTCATGGCAAGTTGACTGGGGCAATAGTAGTAGTAGTAGTAGTAGTAGTAGTAGTAGTAGTAGTAGTAGTAGTAATAATAATAATAATAATAATAATAATAATAATAATAATAATAATAATAATAAAGTTGGAAGGGACCTTGGAGGTCATCTAGTCCAACCCCCTGCTCAGGCAGGAAACCCTATACCATTTCAGGCAAATGGCTGTCCAGTCTCTTCTTAGAAACCTCCAGTGTTGGAGCATTCACTGCTTCTGGAGGTAAGGAGTTCCACTGGTTAATTGTTCTCACTGTCAGGAAATTTCTCCTTAGTTCTAGGTTGCTTCTCTCTTTGGTTAGTTTCCATCCATTGCTTCTTGTCCTGCCTTCAGGCGCCTTGGAAAATAGCTTGACTCCCTCTTCTTTGTGGCAGCCCCTAAGGTATTGGAATACTGCTATCATGTCCCCTCTCGTCCTTCTCTTCATTAAACTAGACATACCCAATTCCAGCAGCCGTTCCTTATATGCTTTATCCTCCAGTCCCCTAATCATCTTTGTTGCTCTTCTCTGTTCTCTTTCTAGAGTCTCAGCATCTTTTTTACATCGTGGTGACCAAAACCACAATGTGTCTGGCGGTGAGGCGGCAGTGGCAAGGAGGTGGTGATGAGGTGACAGCAGCAAGTTGTCCTAGGCCTGAGAATATTTGTAGCTCAGGACTGACCTATGTGGTCCTTGGTGCTCTCTGAACGTGGTTGTTTGCTTGCAAATATGTCATTACCCAGCCAGATAACATCATCTCTGCTAGTGAGAATAGGGTTTTCTCCCTGTTTACATATGGTAGCTTGCCCTGCCAGTCTTGGTAGGGGTGTAGTTTTCTCCTTGGTAGTTCCTTGATTAGGGTATTTTCTGTTTGATTTTTTTGTCTGGTGTTAATTCCTGCTTATCTGGTCTTAATGTTCTCTTTCTAAAATTTTGGGATTTAATTTGGTCTGGGATGCTCAGTCTCCCTGTTGAAAATATGGTTGAGTCTGCCCATCTCAGACATCAATAGACACAAACCATATTTACATGCAGTATACACAGGGCAGAATAAACTTAAAGTCCTCACTTAACAACTATGCGGTCCTCACCTAACAACTGCAAACAAATTTGCCAGAACTGCTGTTGCAGCTGTATTAAATATATAGTAGGTAATTCTCATTTAGCAACTACAAGTGGACCCAAAACTTTGTTGTTAAGTGAAGTTGTCACTAAGTGAAACCACATCTTTGCTCATGATCTTATCTCAGCCTTGCTTTATAAACCTGTGAAGGTCATAAATGTGAGAATTGGTCTAAAATTACTTTTTCATCAACATCAGAACTGCGTACAATCGCTGAATGAGGGAATTGCTAAATAAGGACTGCCTATACTTCACGCTAAGCTGAATTTTTCTATTAAAAATTAACCACAGAAAATATTGATTTTTATTGAAAATCTTGATAGAATTACCATTATTTAATACCAGGAATCAGTTAGCATGCTTTTTATTTCCAAGTATCCAAGCTCAATGTTCATTTTAAAAAGCTCATTTAATGTTTTTCTTTAACTTGTGTATAAAGACAGATTCTGAAAATATGTAATCTTTATAACCAGATGATCTCATATGCGATTTAACTGTTAATACTTCTGAATGCAAGCAATAAGCTTGAAATAAAATACGCGCATTTAGCCTAAACTGTTGATGGGATGACATATAACCATGCTGTACATTATTCGTATATTTTTTAAAGAATTAGCATAAAAAGTTGCAACTATCCAAGAGTTCTATTGTTTCCTTGAAGCAAAATGTGTTCTGGGCTAAGTGTGTTATTTTAAGTATGCTGTCTTTGGCTGTTTTAAATCAAGACCTCTTGAAGCAAGAAAATACTTTTAATTCAAGTATTTGCTTTCTGAAAATACTAAAATGTAAACATATATGTCAATATTGGAAAGTGCCCATTATAGAATTGGGCCTCCAGACTCCTTTCATGAGGCTATGACTCTAAGGTCAAGGCAAAGGTTTTACTCAGCTTCTTATCTTACAGCCAAGAACAGGATCTGATGCTTTCTAAGGGCTCTCCCCATTGAGCTATGACCTCTGCCTAAGCTCTTGCTTGATTGGCAACAGAAATTCAGGATTTAAGCCAAGGAGTATATCTTAAGAAATATGCTGCAATAACAGCTCCAAATTCCAAAGACTAATGTATGCCAGTCTGAACATGCACATTCTGTTTCGCTTTCTAAAAGCCAGCAAATCTTAGCCAGAGAAGCTACCTTTCTTAATGTGTTTAATCCACATAATCCCTACATAATTTAAATATTGGTTAGCATACCATGTGGCATTAGGTTTTACCTGTCTCCAAGCATTCAGAATTAAGAAGTAACCCTTCCAGATGTTTTAAACCCATGGTTTTATGCTGTAAATTGGTAACTGTAAATTTTGTCAAGCTATATTATGATCTGTTTGAGTACTTCATAATAATTTATATAAATTAATACCTGCAACATTGTCACACTGTCCTGATGATGGCATCTGTTGAGTTAATTCTTTAGAAACATGGTTGGTGGTCTGGCCCATGTAAACAGAATGTCCCATTAGGATACTTTCAGCAGCTTTTGTTAGCCTTGGTCTTTGACCCTCGCTAAGTTCCCCAGCACTGTTGTCAGTATCCTAAAGAGAGAGAGAGACAGAGACAGAGAGTTGCACATCTACTCCATTTTGAAGTGGCTCCCATTTGTGAAGGTGGGCAGAGGGAACACTTAAGTAGAATCAAGGAAAGGGAGGGGAGGGAAAATTCAAATGGAGAGGGAGGGGAGATCAGCTTTCCTTCATTTATTAAAAAGATCCCTGATCTGGAGAGAGGAGAGGAGCATCAATTTATCTTTATCTCTTTTTCTTTTTATAAAAAGGAATCCGCCTTAAAAGAGACACAAGAACTCTTCTGCAATCAGGTGCTTACCCAGCACTGTATGATAAAGTCACTATTGTTTACAAAAAGATGGACTAGAAGAATTCTCATAAGCATGCATAGAAGCTCTTTTTAATAATAATAATTTGATTTATTACCACTAATACCATTAATAGTCTGAGTCATTATCACATAGCTGGATCATCAAATAAGTGATGTTCCAAACATGGAAACAACAGGTGTCATAAGAACATTAAAACATTTATGGGAAAAATAATGAGGTAGTAGAAGACAATGTTGGAGATTGAAAATGAAAAAAATATGGGGTTGTCAGTATTAGAAGAGGAATTTTCCACTCATTATCATCCTTTTTATTTGTTGCTATGATGCCACATTCAGTGATTTTTAAGAAAACAAATGTTGTCTACCAAACAGCAAAAACGCTAATAAAACTTCACATTTGTTTTATGTGTTCGCTCCACTACCAATGAGTCTCCATAGATCATAGTAAAGGAATGTGGCCTTCAAAAGAAAAAAAGTTGCCCATTTCTGTTTCAACAGATTTAGAAATAAATGGTACCTCTGAATGGCAACTTTCTTCATGCAAAGTAAGTGGCGCTTGATTCAGTTTTGAAAAGAGAGAAAGGACTTGATCTCTGTGGGGTCCTCTGGGAGGTCTCCGTATCACTTGTCCCTCACTGGGAGGATCATAATCCTAAAAGACACAATAGTGGTTTTTTCCCCCAAGCTACTCATAAAAGATAAATCACATTCCTGACATTCCGGGCTCTCAAAATGAAATAGCATCTTAAAAAAATAGGAACATTAAAGAACTTATCAGAAAAAGCACTGAAGCCTTATTACAGCATCAATATACACTTATGTACGTACATATGTATGTATGTGTTGGAATCGGGCTGTGTCCAAGTTGAATAAAATAAATAAATAATAAACATGACGTTCTTGAAAAACCATCCCCAATCTTCTACCAGCCAGATATATTGGGACTGCAATTCCCAGAATTCTCAGTTTGCACACAATTGCTAAGAGTTTTAATTCCATTTAATTTGAAATATCAAGTTGGGCACAGTTATTCAATCTTTCCCCTCCTTTCAGTAGGGAAAAATCTTGCTAATTAAATATGGATTTTATTATGCATACACATTACTGGTCCAACCACTGAGATAAATCCACTCATTTATCCAATACCTAGAAATAACTACAAACTGACAGTACATGGACTAACCTGGACCATGGTCAACAGGTATAAAGGTATTCCTTCAGTTATGACAACCACTGGCACCAGAATTTTGGTCATAAAGTGCAATGCCACAAGACTGTATCACTTAGCAACAGTAATTCCTGCAGTTCCAATTGCTGTCATTAAGCAAGGATTGCGGGTTGTTAAGTAAGCACCTCCTTGCAGCTTCCTGCTGGCTTCCAATCACCAAAGTCAATGGGGAAGCCAGCAGGAAATTGCAAGTCCCAAACGGCTAACAAGCAGACTGGGAGGCAGGTAAGTAGCTGTTGCCAGGTGGGAGAGGGTACAGCAGAAGCTCAGTGGGATTTGGGGTGGCTGTTGCCAGGTGGGAGAGTGTACGTAAGAGGCAGGGAAGTGTAGTGCGAGCGCAACAAACTTCGGGAAGGGTGCACAGATGGGGGAGATTTACTGGAGCTTCCCTGTTGACTTTGCTTGTGGGAAGCTGGCAGGAAGGTCACAAATTGCGATCATGTGACTGTGGGATGCTGCAACTGTTATAATGGCAAGCGGGTTACCAAATGCCCTGATCACAACTGCATGTCCGCCGGGTGCTTGGAAAGCTGGTATTTTGAATACTGGTTGTAACCACTACTCATTCAATACCATCGTAAGTTTGAATGGTCGCAGAACAAGTGGTTGTTAACCAAGGACTACCTATACGACACCAGCCTTATTCAAGCACTGGGCCCTTTTATCTAAAGATCACAGCTTCCTAGACAATACTGGAATTACTAATCAAACAAAGTAGGCACCATGGTCAATTCCTATCTTACGTTTTCAATGGAACTAGGGGGAAATGATGACAAGAGTAGAGAAGAGTTGACATTTTGGATACGAAGCCCATAACATACTGTGTCAACACCTAGTTACTGTGGTAAATACAGCACTGCTTTCAACTGAAGAAGCATATCACTGATTTGGGCTTCCCAGCCCTTCAGCTTGGATTTAAAAATGGATATTAACCCTGTATGAAAGCAGGCTAGTTACCATTTTGGCCAGCCAGGATGAAAGTATGATCCTTTTCCTATTTTATAAGCCAATCTCCTACTCTGCTATTTACATAAAACTGTCATTTACTGAAATCGTTTAAATGACCTACTCCATTAAACTACAGCATCATATTTGGTTCAATGTTTTAATTTTTAAGTGATTTTATTACCATCTCACGGGCGTCATGAAGGGTGCTGGCCAAACTGTCACTGAGGTTTGGAAAAGGCAGTCCTCCTTCTGCCAAAGCTATAAAGATGAGAAGCACACAATTATGAAATGAACACTTGGGCTGCAGCTGGATTTTTGTCTGCAAATCTATCTGGAAAACAGATTTTTGAGAAGGGTAGGAAAATCCTCCCTCTAGATTAGGTTCAAAATTTATTTGGGCCAAAGTCTACAGCAATCCCTCTTGCGCTGGTTTGGCATCATCTCTCTTCCCCTTTAATCTGAAAGGGCTTCTTCCTTTTCCTTCCAAATCAGTAGGACTCATAAATGTGATTGCGCCAGGGTATCAGGTCAAATCTGGTTACAAAATACCCATGAGGGAAACAAAAAGCAATTACTTCATTCAAAACCCCAAAACTATGGGATGGAAGAGAGAATGCCTCAAGTTGCAAAAGCATTTTTCAGAGCTGTGGCATTTTTATTGTGTTAAAAGATGTTCTCAACCCTTCCTATCTGGAGTAAGACATACAGAATTATATCAAACTAGTCTTTCTAAATACGTAAAACCTCTCATTGTGTTCTCCAGAAATATAAAACCAGCAAAAAAATCTAAATCTCTTACGAAGTTCCCCTTGGAGTTGCGTCACTATAGAACAGGGGTAGTCAACCTTGGCTCTTTTATGACTCGTGGACTTCAACTCCCAGAATTCCTGAGCCTGCACAGCTGGCTCAGGAATTCTGGGAGTTGAAGTCCACGAGTCATAAAAGAGCCAAGGTTGACTACCCCTTGCTATAGGACATATGTCAGGACTTGATTCTCTTGGATATGGAGTCCTTAAAATGCTACAAGAATGATAGAAGGCCAGAGAAAGCATCACCTTTTGCAGCTAGCAGTTGCCCATAGCTGTACAGAATTTCTCCTTCAGAAATTGGCCTGTCTGCAGCCTCAGTTTCTGTGGTGGTCAGACTGCTTTCTTCTGAGGGGCCCGAACTGGACGTTTCCACGGAAGCTGATGGAGGTTCTGCAGGAAGTGGACTGTGGCTCTTAGGCACCTCAGGAGAAACTGGCAATACCAAAATCTCTGGCTCTTCGTGCTTACCCACGGACATTATACTAAAAAATGACCAAAGAAAACCCCTATAAATAATAGATGACACATATTTGCTAGCATTTCTTTAAATATGTGTCCTATTTTTGATGCACATTTTTGGCACATATTTGCTAGCATTTCTTGAAAACCACTCTAGAATTCCTGGAAGCTTGGCATTTAGATAAATTGGTCCATCAATAGAAACATAGAAATAAAACAACTTTACACATCAGTCAAAAGAGATAACTAAAAACAAAACTAAGAAGGAAACAAAAAGACCAGAACATATTCTCTCCAGCAATCAACATCCAGATTAGTAAGAATTATTATTCAAGGAACTGCCAAGGAGAAAACAACAGCTCCCAAAACCCTGGCAGGGAAAGCTATATAATGTGGGGGGAGAAAACCCCACATTCATCCACACTGAAGATATTACCTAGTAGGGTAATGAAACATCTGCAAACAAACAATAACTCAGAGAGCACCAAGAACTTCACAATTAAACCCTGAGCTATATATATTCTCTTCCACTGGATTTTTTTTTTAAAAAAACATTGCTAGTTTACTGAAGAGAATAACATAGGGCCTACTATTTTTTAAAATTCATCATAGTTTTGGGGGCTAGCATTGAAGTAAATGCAGCACAGAGATGAGCATGCTATAATATGATGCAAAACTCAATACATTCCAAAATATAAATAGCCTCTTTGCATTCCACTTGGCTAAGTAGAAATGCCAGAAAGACAATTTCAACTTGGCATAAAAACTAGTTTTGTATTGCTTTTCTTTTGGCTGTATCTTATTCTGGCAACTGAAGACTGCAGGAGTCATTAATTTATGTCAGTTGGGGAGGACTCACACAGCTGTTGGATTATAACCTTCTTCACTCTGTGGACTAGGCTTTTCTTCTTCCAAAGGAAGTTCTGTATCTCCCCATGCATTGGGAGGGGTTTGTCTTTTCATCATTCCTGTGTCCAGGGTACGGTCTGATATAGGAGGGCTTGGTGAGGCTACTATGGGTGTTGCTGAAGGGGTAACGACAGGTGTACGAACCGGACCGACAACTACAGCCTCAGACCCTGCATGAATTGGGGGGAAATGAGAAAAGGAATGCAAGGTCAGATTATACTGTTATCCATTTTTTTAATGCAGAGAGAATAACTTAGCCCCTATAGCAGGAGTCATTCTCCTTTCTCTGAAAATTCTTTCAGGTTATTACGGTTATTTGCATTAAAATTATAGTAATCCTAATCTTTTCACAGAGAGGATCTATCAAATGGATGTAGAAGGAAACGAAGAGGAATAAGGAAAGTTAGAATCAGATTCAAGCCTCGGTTTCTTTCATTTGATTATCAAAAAAGAAAAGAGCTTGCTAACTTCTTTATAAGCTGTCAGACGTCTGCCCACACATACCGCAGTTTTTGATACCCACTATTACGTGTCTCGACTTTTAAAGCGAAGGAAAGAGGTGGGATGCAAGCAGGAAGTCTGAGAGAAATGCTGCTCCTATTGCTAGTGAAACTCTGTGCAGCACACAAATAAAGTTCATTTTGCTAGTGCCCTGAGTCACAGAGAAGGAAGGAATCCATGGAGTTAGCCCATCCTGCTGGAGCCCTCTTTCCTTTTCAAATCAACCACAGTTCCTATGCAAAACTATTGGGTGTTAGTTGGGCATCTAGAAAATTGCAGATGGGGACAAAAACCTACTTAAGCTCAGTTCTCAAATACACAAGTATATTGCATGATATAATGTGAATTTGCACAGAGGAAAACTGGATGAAAACAGAATACCCATTGCCAACTTTGGTTGATGTTCTGAGTATGGTCATTCCTGGATCCTTATTACAGTTGTCAGTGCACAGATCATGTGCGATAACTATAGTATACTTTAAGTAAAGCTACTATTGTGCTTGGTTTGGAAGTTACAGCTGGTGCAAGATGTGGCAACCAGGTGGCTGAATGGGGCATCTGGATGAACATGCTACTACTTTGTTCCAGTGGACTTTGAGTGCTTAAAATCATGCTTTATGAGGAAAACATGAAACCTTGCTAATAAGAAAGCTCTTCAAAAAAAAAAGCAAGTTTCAAAACAAAGATGGTTACATATAAATCACAATTTGTCTTAAGTGTTTTTTTTGATGCACCTGGTCAGCCCAATTATGGGAAGAAGAAATCCAAATTTAACACAAATCACAATTTATATGTATTTTTACCTATTGCACCCATCATTTTTTGATCACCCACATCTTCATCCATCTCATTAATAGACACAGATGACTCTGGGGTTTTTAAGGCAAAGGATTCTTTTACAGGTGGTGGTGACTGAGGTGGTGTGGATTCAGGTGTGACCAGTGGAGTAGGTAATATGGTTTCCTGAAATGGAAAAATACTCACAAATAATAAAAATACCAAAACTATTGAAACCACCCTCATTTCTACTGCATTTAACTCATCTCTGCTAAAGCATTACATTTTGATTGAAATTTATCTAGCCAATCAATTAATAATCCTCAATTAAACAGGTCTAATGCTTACTATTCCAAGAAGGGAAAGCTTATTAAAGCACAAATATTCTACTAGTCAATGACAACGTTAATTTAATGCATTTGATTCTTCGGCCTGGATACAAAACCAAAGAAGAAATAATTTTGGATTTGGAGTACAAATATAAAATGTCATATTAAAAGCAAGCCAAGACCTGCCTTCAAACTAAGGCTTAGTTCTGGAATTTTATATGCCCAGAATAAGAAGATTAAACCAATCTTTGTTTCCTGTCCAAGTCAGCCAAAAGCATATACAAAGCCAGTGATCTTCTCAAAGCTCTATGAAGAAACAGAATGGCCACTGATTCAGGTGATTCTAAGCGTCTCTTGTGGTGCTGGATGATTATTTCTATACATTTTGCCAGCTGTACTTGTGCAGTGACACAAGGCAGTCTTCTATCCCCAAAGTTATTTATTATCTGTATGAAACCGCTGGGGATGGTTATACCAGGTTTTGGAGGCAGGTATCATCAACAGGCAGATGACCTTCAACTCTACTAGGTAATACCTGAATCAGGAGAGGCCATGCATGTCCTGAAGTAGTGACTGTATATGAGGTGGATGAAGTCTACTACATTGAGACTGAATCCCAAGACGACAATGATTTTCTGGGTTTGAGAACTGGGACATTTACATTCGTCGGAAAGAACAGATACCTGGGTCAGGAATGCACCTAGGGACATCCACATTGGAAGCCCAAATGACTTCCAGAGTTAGGAATACTTATTGGCAGATTTGGTTGATATTGCAAGTGTGGTCATTCCGGGATCCTTACTATAGTTGCTAATGCACAGAAAATGTGAGATAATTTTAACAAGAGCTACTACTGTGTTTGATCTAGACCAGGGGTAGGCAACCTTGGCTCTTTTATGACTCGTGGACTTCAACTCCCAGAATTCCTGAGCCAGTCCACGAGCCATAAAAGAGCCAAGGTTGCCTACCCCTGGTCTAGAAGCTACAGCTGATGCAAGATGTGTCAATCAGATGGCTGAATGTGGCATCTGGATGCTCATGCCTTGTTGAAGCAACTGCCCTGGCTGCCAATTACAGGTAGTCCTCAACTTACAACCACAACTGAGTCCAAAATTTCTGTTGCTAAGCAAGACAGTTGTTAAATGAGTTTTGCTCCCTTTTACAATGGTTTTTGCACAGTTAAGTGAATCATTGCAGTTGTTAAGTGAATCTATCCTGCCCCATTGACTTTGCTTGTCAGAAGCTGGTTGGTAAGGTCACAAATGGCGATCACATCACCCTGGGAGAGTGCAGCTGTCATATATACATGCCAGTTGCCAAGCACCCAAATTTTAATTATGTGACCATGGGTCATAAGCCTGAAAACTGGACATCAGTCACTTTTTTTTAGTGCTGTCATAACTTTGAATGGTCACTAAATTAATGGTTGTAAGTCAAGGACGAACTGTAGTTTAAACCAGCCTGGCTGAGGAATTCTGGGAGTGGAAGTCCACAAGTCATAAAAGGGCCAAGTTTGAAGACCCCTGAATTAAGCCATTTAAATAGCAGCCAATAACTTTAAATAATTACTTCTAATTACTCTTCAACTAAGTACAGAAAAAAGCAACTTACCTTTTCTGGCAACTGTGGCACACTTGAAGAAACGACTGAAGCCAGTGCAGCTTTTTCACTTTCTCTGTTACCCAGCATTACAGCTACTCTCTCAGCAAGTGCTTCATTAACAAAATGCCTGATCATTTCAGAATCTACTGGGATGCCAGCATCAACAAATAGCTGAAACCCTTCAGTGCCCGCTGCTTCAACTGAAGATGAATCAGAACACAGGCAGAAATTCAAGTTTAAAGTTGTACATAATAAGATTTGGATATGAAGAACTTTGAACTATATTCCTGATTGTCAGTTGTTTCTATTCTCTGCTATCCCAAAGCTGATCCTGAGCCAGGGAATCGTTAGGAATGATGTGAGATACAATGCAAGGAATGGAATGGAATGATACCCCATTCCCCTTTATGCATGTGTGCATGTCTTTCTGTTTATATGTGGTTCTTTTTTTTCTTCAATGCTTAATTTGTAGGTTTTAGATGACTAGCCCATATAAACATTTAATATCCCACAGTTTATTATTTTTTATATTTCACAATGAGAGCCAGTTTGGTGTAGTGGTTAAGGCATTAAGCTAGAAACCAGGAAATTGGGAGTTCTAGTATCAACTGAGGCACAAAGATCTGGGTGACCTTGGGCCAGTCACTTTCTGCTAGCCCTAGGAAGGAGACAATGGCAAAACATGTCTGAAAAACCTTGCCACGAAATCAGTAGGGATTTGTCCATGCTGTCTCCGAGAATATGAATGTCTTCCATGAATGTCTTCATGCTCATCAGCAATAATTAGTTGAACTGTGTCTAAACCTTCTGTCAAATTCAGCAAAGAAGTTAGGGCGAAGTATCAGGATATTGGTAATTTGTTGCTAAACCCAGGTGGGAACTTTTAACAGTGGGAGGTCTTTAGATAAATAGTAGCTGGATGTTCTGCCATGTACTGTTTTGAGTGGCCAAGACATCATGCACATTTTGGGGAGTTTGGACTAGGACGAGGTGGATCAGTGGTCTGACTTAGCATCTTATCTTCCCCAATCTTACACTATTTATGTGTTTCCGAGGCCAGTATATGAATCTGGCTAGAAAATGATGTGGAAGTTGACCAGATTCTCTTGATACTAAACCAGGACCACCCAATATCTGTCCTCTGCAATTCTTGACAAAGTGATTTTTTAAAATTTCTTGTTGGGAAATAACAAAGGCATGTTTATGCTTCTGTTATATGACTACAGCATTATATATGTTAATATGAGTACATTCTTCATTTCCTGAGAGAGAACATGGGGGCCGATACGCTCCCACAGAGAGGCCCTCATCAGGGTGCCGTCAGCCAGACAGTGTCGGCTGGCGACCCCCAGGGCAAGGGCCTTCTCTGTCGGAGCACCCACCCTCTGGAACGAGCTGCCCCCAGAGATCCGGGTGATTCCGGATCTCCCCTCCTTCTGCCGCGCCCTTAAGACCTGGTTGTTTCAGCGGGCAGGACTNCAGGACTGGCCTAGGGGTATTTTAAATTGGTTTTAGCCAAATTTTAGTAGAAGCGGCCGATTTAAATATTTATTTTTAATGATTTTTTAAAACTTTGTATTGTATTGTATTAAACTGTTTTTAACTGGCTGTAAGCCGCCCTGAGTCCTACGGGAGAAGGGCGGGGTATAAATATAATAAAATGAAAAAAAAATGAAAATGAACATGATCTGACAATATAATGCATAAATATGTTTGATTATGTTGGGTTGTTTGGAGCATGTTTCTTATTGCTCCAGAAACAAACACGTGGGAGGGAATGTGTTGGAGGCCACAGCACATGCTTAAGAAAATGGCCTAGAACTAGGTGAATTGAGGAAAAATCCAGTTTATCAGATTCAGTAAATGCAGAACTATTCACTGATCAAATTTACTATAGGAATCCCTTTCCTGGACTTCTTCTGTAAAAGCCTGCCCCCCATTCTTCTTTAACCAGGATGAGACAGCTGTTTTTTTACTTACCAATGTCAGAGGATACTGCTTGGCTCTCTTCACTCTCTGGTGAGCTTAAGTTGCGAATCACCTCTTTCTGAGCTGGATACATTCCACTGATAACTCGGGCCATTACTTCTTGTTCTACCCTGATGGAATAATAAAAACATATAAGGAACGGTTGCTGGAATTGGGTATGTCTAGTTTAATGAAGAGAAGGACGAGGGGGGACATGATAGCAGTGTTCCGCTATCTCAGGGGCTGCCACAAAGAAGAGGGAGTCAAGCTATTTTCCAAAGCACCTGAAGGCAGGACGGATGGAAACTAATCAAGGAGAGAAGCAACCTAGAACTAAGGAGAAATTTCCTGACAGTTAGAACAATTAATCAGTGGAACAACCTGCCTCCAGAAGCGGTGAATGCTCCAACATTGGAGGTTTTTAAGAAGAGACTGGACAGCCATTTGTCTGAAATGGTATAGGGTTTCCTGCCTGAGCAGGGGGTTGGACTAGATGACCTCCAAGGCCCCTCCAACTTTATTATTATTATTATTATTATTA